AGCTGGGAGAAAAGGAGGCTGAGGGGGGGTCTGATCAGGGCTTGTAAGTATCTCCAGGGGGGTCAGGAGGTGGGGCCAGACTCTGCTCAGGAGTGCCCAGGGACAGGACAGGGGGCAATGGGCACAAACTGGAGCACAGGAGGTTTGACCTGAATGTGAGAAAATAGTTCTTGCCTGTGAGGGTGGCAGAGCCCTGGGACAGGCTGCCCAGGGAGGCTGTGGAGTCTCCATCCCTGGGGACATTCCAACCCCACCTGGATGTGTCCCTGTGGGATCTGCTCTGGGGGATCCTGCTCTAACAGGGGGGTTGGACTGGGTGATCTCCAGAGGTCCCTTCCAACCCCACCCCTCTGTGGTTCTGTGATCTGGATGCAGAGCTGCTCCCAGCCCCCCCTGGTAGGTGCCTCCAGCACAGGTCCTGGGTCTGCTGGCAACAGGGGTGACTCAGAAGTGGTTGTGGCCATGTCATGCACCAACGTGGGGAGGAGGTTTGGAGACCCCTGCCCAGGCACTGCCCCTCCTGCCCACACCCCAGGAGAGCCAGGAGCATCCCCGAGGGGCAGCAGGCAGCACTGGGCAGCTCACCCTCAACCTGGCTCCTTCCCCCTCTAGAAACCTGTCCCCTAACACCCAAGTGTCCATCCACCCAGAGAGCCCAGGGCACGCACCCCAGTGCCATCAGGACCCCCGGGTGGCTGTGCCTCTTCACCCAGGATGGCTCCTGTGAGCCCACACGGATGCTGGAGCTGGGGCAGTGATTTTGGAGGAGCCAACACCACCCACATGGACCACGGGGACACCTCCAGCACCACAGACCCAACACTGGGAGCAGGTTCCCATCACCCAACCCAACATGTTCCTGTGATGTCCTGGATAGTCGTGGCTCCTCTCCTTGGACACCCCAGCCCCCTTTCCCCTCTTCCCAGCATCATTCTGGTGACCTTTAAACCACCATTCACAGCCTCTGAGCAGTGACCTTCCCACCTGCCCAGACACCACAGCGAGGACCTTTGCCATGCCAGGATTCACCCAGGAACAGGGCAAGAGAAAGGTCATTATTGATGAAGTCTTAAAAGTAAATAAACAAAGGATTGGGAGCTTGAAGTTCACAGCAACTTTATAGAAAATCTGCCTCTTCCCAAGGGAAGGATGCTCGACCAACCAGTCCCTCCTCCCCTTGTCCAAGGGGTCCACGAGGTTTCAACCAATGGTTGGATGTTTTTGAGGGACAGAGGCAGAAACCTCCACAAAAGCACCTGTTGGAGCATCTCCCCAGTGAGCCAAGGGGACGTGGCAGCCCCGGAGGTCTGAGCTGAGGGCTGGAGCCCCGTGGGGCTGGGGAGAGGAGCCCCCCCATTGGAGCTCTGGGTGTTTCAAGCAACAGCCCAAACCTCTTTGCCAGCGCTCAGGCACAGTCTGCAGGCACAGGCAGCTTCTGTCTGCAGCCAAGCTGAAGGTTTGGGGCACCCAAGCCCAGGTGCCACAGCTCTCCTAGTCCCCAGGGTCTTCCGAAAAGACCAAAGAGCTGTCAAACACCTCCTGGAAGGAGTCGAGGAAAGGCTGGAGGACGTGGTCGACGGTGACGAGCCTGCCCAGCTCCTGGCTCAGGGAGGTGACCCCTTTCCCCTCCAGCCCGCAGGGCACGATGTGGTCGAACCAGGTGAGGTCGGTGCAGCAGTTCAGAGCCAGCCCGTGGGACGTGATGTGGTTCCCACAGTGCACCCCTGGGGGGCAGGGAGAGCAACCAGCTGTCAGCACCCGGCCCCAGGGGCACCCCCTGCCCCAGGGAC